ATCTCCTTCAATTAGCACATTGTATTTGGACTGGTGTTCTTCAGCAGAACTAATCCAATAGAGCATAGTCACATGCAGGGTTTGGTTCCGGTGCTCTACCTTCACTTATAGCTAACCATATTTTCATGTGATTTCTTATTAGCGCTGCTACTCAAAATGATCACACTGAGTAAAAACCGTCAAATAGAACGGCTTTCCATTGTATACCAGACATATTTTCAGATTTTAGTACAAGTAAAATAGCCCTCCCCAAAGCTTGGCTCGATCACTATCTGTCTTTACTTGTGGGCAACTAAAGATTACGGATTACCGTCAAAAGTGGGCAGTTCAAGTCACCTGTCAATCGTCCAAATAGTTGAATCTCTTGATGAGTCGACCTTGTCCTTGAGAAAATAAGCAGGGTTTAATTTCGTAGCAGATAGGACATTTACCGACAGTATTATGGATGAATTTAAGCGAATGTTCGCATTTCATCTATGCGTATGAGTAAAGAAGAAGAAATCGCATCGCTCGCCCGAATTAGGGTTTATTAGTCTGAGCTATCAGACTTACTGGAGTCCATCGTCAAAGATAAAAACGGCAACAAAAAATGAGTAGCAGTCATGGGTAGCATAAGCCAATCAAACGCGGGTGACTCCAAACCCAAAGGGGACTGCGCACGGTTCTGTATGCCAGTGCCAATCGATAAATCAGTAGAATGAGTTCTCATCGGTGGCCCAGGCTTCAATCAGTTTCCGGCTTGTCTTGCTTCTGGCGCGAGTGATCATGATCGAGGTCACAAAATTAAACTGGCGACCCGTCTCGTAGGTGTGGACAGTCACTTGTGCTAATCCGTTACTTCATCTTACAGTCAGCCTATGTTCGTGTATACGTGCTCAAAGCATGCGTCCAGTTTGTCCTGTATAGTTTTGATAACAGGTTAGGAACAGAATGTGATACATTCCAACCGATTACTTGCTAGGATTTAATCGGTCCTTGATTTTCACGACCTCGCTGCGCATAGTAGCATTCGACTGGTGCGTAATTCCGACACCTAGTTCCACGGCATCATGCTCGTTCGCCTCTGACAGTCCTTTATTTATGGCAGCGCATGCCATACCGTTATCTGACAGTGGCATACACATCCCTGTGCAGTTACCTTCGGACTGGAATCACTAGTATTTGCTTGGCCTCTGTCCCCTGTAACTGTTTATTATTTTCTGTTGCCACTTCATCTTTGATTATGGAGTCCACTAAGTTTGATAGCTCAGACGAATAG